ATTATTGCCATAGAAACTAAAAAAGTAAACACCAAAGTTATTAACTTGTAAATGAAACTGTAGACCTTTGATTTTCTTGTCTTCACAAGCCATTGATATAGTTCAGAAATATTTGACAAATTCTGAAAACCCTAATCACAACATATTTCAATCTCATAATGTCGAAGCTTTCATCTCAAACGAAGTTTCTCCATCTTTGAAAAATCCTAAGGATAGGATTTTTCTACAAGCTCACAAATATGATCAACATTGAAACTCTTGCACCCATTTCTAGGATCTAAAGCATCACTAAAAGTCAGTAGTTCCATTGCATTCTCATTAAACTTGCAATTCAATTCTTATAATTGAGAATTTATTATAGCATTAAAAATATCTATTCGATAATGATGCTCAACAGTAATAGTATCTTGTTGATTATGAGCAGAACTTTCCCATGCAACATATTTGGCAAATATATCAAGAACATCTATATTGTTATTGTTATAGAATAATTTTACCTTTTCAAGTAAAGAATCTCATCCACTTTCTCTAAATTGTTGAATAAGAGCCTTTATTAACTTGACAAGATTTAAAGCATTCAAAATATCTTGAGATTTACACTACAAAACTTGACAAGGCAGATTTGTGATCTCCATGATTTCTTTCATAAGATGTAAAACAAAAACAAACTCAAAAGACATCAATGCATTATATCCTACAAATAAGAAAACATATATTAATTGCCTTCAAGATTTCTTTTAAAATATAGAATTCAAACAAATTCTAAAAAAATTCAATATGTTATATTATCTTTAAATGCTTCTTCACGTTGTGAAGAAATAGATCCTTCCTCAATCAACTTGCTTACAAGAGTAGAAGTTTCACTAAACATTTTTAACATATTTAAAATAGATTTCAAATATAAACTCCAATGAGTGTCACCAGGTTGTTGTAAAGTGCCAATTTGATTAAGTTTATTTCCAATTTCAAGCTCATCATTTTCAATCAAATCAACAATATGAGAAGTATAAATAAATTTCAATTCATGATTGCGCTTAGAAGAAGCTACAACAACATTGACAATGTATGTCAAGTTTGAAAAAAAAAAATGATACATGGGAATGACCTCCTTTGATGATGCAACTAAAGTCATTGCAAATGATAAGCTAAGCAATGAATGTAGTAAGCATAAGGACATCGTTTGCTAATCAAAGCTTGAAGTTCATTAAACTTACATCTCATATTACTTGCATCATCATATCCTTGACCATGAATGTTTGAATGTCAAGATCATAATGAGAAAGCAAAGAAAAAATAGCATCTTTCAAAGTTTTAGTTAATGTATCTGTCACATGAACACCAAAAAAGCACTTTCTAAAAAATCCTTTCTTATCAACAAATCTTAGAACCAAAAACATTTGCTCCCTCTTTGACTTATCTCTTGCTTCATCAACAATAATATAAAACTTAGCATCATCTATTTCTTGGTGAATACTTTCTCTTACTTTATCCGCCAAAACTTGTAAAATCTCCTTTTAAGTAGTTTCCGGTGAAGTATACAAACCATTTTGAGGAGCATTCTTTATGACAAGTTTAACATTCTCATTATAAAATGACAATAACTTCAACAATTCAATAAAATTCCTACGATTGCTCGAGTTGCTACTTTCATCATGACCTCTAAAAGCACAACCTTAAGTTGCAAGCTATTTCACTATACCAATTGAAGCTTGAAGTCGTAGACGATTGTCTAAAACTCGTTATGTAGTCTTCTTATAAAGCAAATGTTTAATGTGCTGAGATTACTTCATCAAATCTTCACAAGCTCTCTTATTGATTTTATGAGAAGAGTTTGGATCATTTCCCACATGGTTTAAGAAAGCACATCTCTTCCCATCTCTTACTTTCTTCCATTTTGAAAATCCCCCCACAATGAATGCATCATGTCGACCACCACCACCTCTAGAGTTTCCTCCCGAGTCGTTAAAAAGAAAACAATAAGACAAAAAGCTACATCTTTCTTGGGAGAATATTCCAACCATGATAAAAACATTTTAATTGTAAACCACAATGGCATAAGGTGGCGTTGATGGCCTATTGGTCCAAGTTTTTTATACTCACTCCATTTTGGTTGATATGCATCGACAATTAGATAAGCTCTTTGAATCCGATCTTACTCTTCCAAGGAATATTCATATATTTGCTTTTGCTTTCTTGGGTCATGCTCAATAAGAATACCATCTACATTGACTTTCAAATCTTCTTCTTGTATAGGCTACTCTTTAGAGATAACTTCTATTTCTATAGGCTCTTGTTGAAGTTCCTCAACTATTTTTTTTTATGCCCCTTCATTTTCCTTTGGGTCTTCTTCTCTCTCTTAAAAAAACACTCAATTGTTCCTTTCTTTCTCATTAATACAATTCGATCCTAATAAAAAGCAAAGTAAAACAATAAATTAAACTAACATAATAAACAAAAATGGAAAACTTTATTCAAAAAAATGTTTCAAATTTAAAATTAAACTAACATAATAAACAAATAAATTATCATAATCTTAAATGTTACAATTCTAATCCACTAGCCGTTTTCTTATTCATCTCAATCTCAAATTTAAATAGGAAATCTAAAATTTGAAACTCATATGGAGACAACTTAAAACCTTTAAGAACTTAATTGGCTATTAATATTCTTAATATGGTATATCAGTATGTAGTGGCAGACCACTTAATTCTCTAAGTTATTAGTTCTCCCTAGTGGAAGAGATTTTCTACCTCCGCGGGTGAGGTTAGCAAATATGAAATATGACAACATCTCATCTCTTCACCCTACCACTTTCTACAATCAAACAATTTTTTTTGTCATTTTTTACAAGCTAACTACACTTTATATTAGTTTATCTTGCTATTACTTATCTCTATGTTCAAGGTTTTTCTTTTACTGGGTTCATATACATTCCCTTTATGGATCTATAATTTTTTTAAAATTTATTTTACTCCAATTTTATTCTATATAACTTCAATATTATCAAAATATTCAATTTTGTTTATAATCTCAACAACTTTAAATTCTAAAAGGAAATTATACAATTTTTTGTAATAATAAAAAATCAATAAGTTTCATTACTTAAATATTACTCCTTCTATACTAGAATAATAGATTTTTTGTTTTATTTTTATATTAAGTATTTGGAAAAAAATTTATCTTTATCTATTTTATACTTTAAAAAAAAAAGTAACAATAAATATCTACTTCAATAAGAAGATAAATAATTAAAGTTAAGCGATAATCATAGGGGTAAAGTAGGAAAAAAAATTATTTGTCTTCCTCAAAATAAGAAAAAACAACTATTATTCGGAGACAAATTCTAAATAAAAAACAACTATTATTTTGAGACAGAGAGAATATACTAATTTTATTGTTAGAACATATCTACAAACAAGTATAAGACAAAATTTTAAAATAAAATAAAATAAACTTACAAAACTTGAAAGTTAAAACCTAATAAATGATTCATATAAAAAGAGATAGTATTGTCTTTACCTTCTTTATAGTTGGTGATCCCTTTGGTGGTTGGTGGTCTCTTCGCCTTCATGCTTTCAATGACAAGACAAGAGAGTCGTGCTACAGTAGTGCCAGTAGAGTCTCTCTCCTTTTTCTTTTATTTTTCTCTTGTTGAAGTTGTTGGTACTTGATATTGAGGGAGATTGAGACTGAAACTGGACACTGGAGAATCATATATTGGGTTGAAAGTTGAAACCCAATATATGATTAATATAACAAGAGATAGTATTGTCTTTACCTTCTTTATAGTTGGTGATTCCTTTGGTGGTTGGTGGTCTCTTTGCCTTCAGGCTTTCAATGACAAGAGAGTTGTGCTACAGTGGTACAGGTAGAGTCTCTCTCCGTTTTCTTTTGTTTTTCTCTTTTTGAAGTTGTTGGGTATTTGACATTGACGGAAATTGAGACTGAGATTAGACACTGGAGAAACAAAGTAAAACGCATAAGAATCTTTTTTTTTTTCTTTTTATCTATGGAGTTCTGTAGACAATTGTGACCTTGGGATGTGTTATTTAAATAAATTAAATTAATTAAATAATAATAAACAATTAAATTGTTAAAATGGATAATTGATGATATGGATTATATTTGGGCTCCTAAGATAACTCATTATTATTGGATTTTTATTTTATTTTATTTATTTTAATAATTAAAAATACAATATTTAAAATTTTAATAGTAATAATTAATAAATTAATTATATAATTTTTTTTCCAAATTCCAGGGGGCTCACCTCCCCGGTCTACAAGTGGCTTCTCCCCTGCTCTCCCTATTTAACAATTTGTGTTAATAATTCTATACAATTTATATAGCAGAACACTAGACTATTTTTATATAACATATACATTTTTCGTTACATTTGCAGCTTTCTTTGGAAGCCCAATAATACCAAGAAAAATTGGAAATAAACAACACCGTGCCACAAAACTTTGTTAATAAAAGATGCAAATAAAGATGCAGGTTTTATTTTATTTTTTTTCATTTAAGTATGCAAATTTTGTTGATTATTAAATAAGCCAATAAAATTTTAACATTTTTTATTTAAAAATACTTGCTTTGCATTTTTTCTATTTTAATATGTTAACTTTACATTTTTTCTATTGAAGAATTAATTGGATAGTAATACTAGTATAGCAAATGTCTTTTTTAGCAATCTAATTAATCCTTTAATAGAAAAAATGTAAAATTTATATTTTTAAATAGAAAAAATTAAAAGGTTACCTCCTTATTTAGAAATTAATAAAATTTATATTCTTAAATAGAAAAAAAAATAAAATCATATACTTATTCACACATATTCTCTAACTTTCTCACAAAATATGTGATAGTTAAACCCATGTGACAGCTAAATTCTATGCTTTATCAATTAACAATATTCCGCTTTGATTTTTCATAGAATTTGTTAAATAATAGGTTACTTTTTAACATTTAAGAAATTTTATTAAGCATAATTCACAAATTTGAAAAAAAAATAAATTTTATTGCAATAGCAATGTCATCTTGAAGAAGTAGTTTTTGTTTCAACTAGGGGTGAATCCAAACTAAAATAGATGGATTGATACCATCCAAACCAAACCAATCTTAAGTTGGATTAATTCGGATGATAACGATTAATAACCAACTTAATTGGTTTGATTGTTAAATTTTCCCTTCTACCAAAAAAACAAACTACTTTAACCATCCACATATCAAAAACAAGACTTGCATTTTTTTCATGGTGGACAGCAAGGAAAACTTTTTCTTTCCGCTTCTTAAATCCCCAACACAGCCTTTGCATGGGGTTGTCAAATGAGGGATGACTCACCACCAGACTTGCAAATGATCATGCTGTTCAAAACTTGCAGCAAGGATTGCTGCCTTACCCATCAATGGCTGAAGAAATATAACTATATAAGCAGATCCTCGTAAAACCAGGCGTGGATCTAGGCCTAATAGGCTGCCGGTTGTCAAAGGTCTGCCCAAATGCAAGACCTTTTGAGTGATCATTGTGTATTTGTGTGATGTTGTTCCTTCTCATGTGGAAAAAGCATTCCTGTAAAACCTAAAGAGGCAAATGATATAAGATGTAAACTGCTGTCACTTTAATGTGAGTATTGATAACAGAATTCATTAAATATTTTTAAAGCAGTGGACTGTGATCCAGCAATTTGACTAAGAAGATCTGTCACCTTCAAAATTTAGAATGGAATGATTAACGAAAAGGGGTTTGAGCTAGAAAAAACGAAAAACTTTTGAAAGTGCAGAGAAGTTTCAAAGTAGGTGTTTGGAGCAAAGACCAGCACAAAGAAAGACTAGGAAAATCACTTCAGAAGGCAATATCTTACTGGTAATCATAGCTTCCCTCACATTTTCTTGTTTATGATCTCATTTGAAGCTAGCTACTATTTGTATCACTTAAACAACACGAGTACACAAAACTAATTCAATATTTCAAGCAAATATATAATCAAAATCCCATTGACTCAATCACAGATTGCATTATCCTACAATCCCAAACTATAGTGCGTAAAAGTAAAGATGATTCAAGAACAAATACCTTAAGCTAGGGAAGTCCTTTAGATTATCACTGCCCACCAGTGCCCTACTTGTAAATATCCTTTAGTTGATCACATGAAAGTTGTAATTTGTGCCTTTCTTCGGTGTTCATTTGGAGTTCATTCGTAGTCTGCAGAAACAATGTGGAGACAAGAACATGTAAATTAGAACTCATCACAACCTGATGACAATGGTGTCTAGTCACAATGATGACAATGGATTCATAGACACTTAACCCCTGTTTGGTTCAAGGGAATTGGTGGGGGGGAGGGGGGGAATGGAAGGATATCAAGAGGGGAAATGGAAGGAAATTAAAGCAAAATAAGGGAAATCCCCTCCCCTCCCCTCCAATTTTTTGTTATCCAAATTGGGAAATTTCTCCCCCTGCCCCTTCTCTCCTCTCAAACCAAACAAGCTAGGTGCAAATCAAGGTCAAGCAACTTATAATTTCTGTTCCAAAAGAAAATGGAAAAAATGCATGTTTCAAATGCAACAAATAAAATCCAAGCAAAATTAGCCAAACCAGATTCTATTCTGTGTAGGGTCCAACCTTTCAAAAAGTATTGCAAATCTAAGGCAGATTGGCACATACAGAATTCATCATTCTAACGCAACAACACAACTTGTATTTTATGTATGTTCTTCAAAATAAAGAAGACTGATATTTGGTGAGAATCATGAGCAAATTAGACAATTTACTGATTGATATCACAAGTTCCATTGGGTTATAGAGCATACGAGTGTGGTGAAACAAAAATACAAGCAATATTATTGCCACTAGCATCAAAGGTTTTCTAGAATAATCATCAACACTTAAACAAAGACATTCTGGATTCTAGAAAAACAACAAAGACACTGGCAAAGAGAAATGATGTGACTGAAAAATTAAAAATACCTGTAAAGAGGCTATGCTTTGTAAAATGTGGTCAATCTCAGTCTTGAACACGAAAAAGTTCTTCCGCATTTTGTCATCCATATGCATTGATAGAAGGACAGAAACAATGGCTTTTATCTGACTTAAACGGTCAGTAGTATATTGATATTGGATATAACCACAAGTTGGAAGTGATGAACTACTTCCAGTTATCAACGAACCCATCATGTCCAAGACAATATTCAGAAGCCTGGGACTCCTATCAAACAAGAGAACACATGGCAGAAGATAATAAAGGCGTTTATGAACACAATTAGAGAAGGTGGAGTCATTATCATCTTCTGGTATATGCTGCAAAAGATGAAAAATTTTGGTCATAAGATGGAAAAACTTGTGATGAACTAACAGAATGGGATTCAGCAAGTTCTATTTGTACGTTATTCTTCAGTGTAGAAGGTAGCATATTACAATGCATGGGTGCTATGAGAACAATTCACAGATTGATTTATTCAGTAAGCAGAAGTTAATAAGTTCAACATAACTATGTCCAAATGAGTCAAAAACTGGAAATGACTAACATAATTAGAAAATGACAAACATATCATTGAAAAAGGTTGATGGGCACAAATGAAGTGAAAAGGTTCTGCAAAAAATAGAAAATGATGGGGAAAAATGGAAAAAAAAAAAAATCATTCAGTTAAACAAAAGCCTGGGCTAATATAAACAAAAGAAATACTCACTTGTGCAACGTTGATTAAATATGCTGGCAGGAAATTGCTCAGATTAATAATACTCTTTTCAGAAAGAATTG